TATATAACATTTGCTCCTTAAAAGTAGATGATTATGATGGTTTTAACATTTCGTTTCAGATGAGTAATACACGTGCTCCGAATTTTACAAAATCCGAAGAAAACCTGCTCCTATCTTTAGTGAGCAAGTATAAAAATATTCTGGAGTGTAAATTGTCCAACACTGATGCAAATCAAAAAAAAAATCAGTGTTGGAAGAAAATTGAAGTAGAGTTCAATTCTTTATCTGGCCAGACCTTCCGGGACCACAAAGTTTTGAAAAAAAAGTAGGATAACATTAAGAAGAGGACAACGAAAAAATTTGCTGACGAGAAAGCCTATGTTGGTGGTACTGGGGGAGGGTCACAACAAAGTATTGAGGTCACCGATGTTGATGTGGCTGTAAAAGAAATTCTCGGGGCCAGACTAATGGGGCATAGCAGCGAATTTGATGGCGATTCCGAAACAACCTGTAAGAAGTATTTTTATGAATAATATGTATTGTAAAATTAAAATGTTGATGCTTTACAGCATTCCAAAGTAACAGCGGGATAAATGTTGCTTGTCTCATCACCACGCCTGCCCATTTGGAAGAACAATGTACATCAATGTATAATCTCTCTGATGACGAAAATGATGGTAAATACTTTTTATCCTTACATACACTTTATTCAGAAATCTTTTACTATTTTTTCTTTATTATTATTTATTTCAGATTGTTTTATGCCAAAAGATCAAACCGGAGCAATGTCAAGAGAAGTGCCTGTTATGGATAAAATAAGTTGTCCCAATAAAGAAAGTGGTAAACATTAATAATAATCAAATAATTCGTTTTGACTTGTACCTATGGTTATTTTTGTAGAAAATGGTCAAACTGGGAATTGGGCTAAATACACCCCCAAAATGTTGAAGCAAAAAAAATCTTCAACACTCACTCCATATTATAGAGGTATTATATGTATATATATTTATATTAAAAAATGTTTGCCATTTGTCTTAAAACTTTATTAATGTATTGTTTGTATAGGTAAAGGAAACCAGACAAGTGATAAGTTAGAGCAATGGGCCGCTGCCAAAGAACTTGTCGAACTAAGTCGAAAGGAATACATCCAAAGGGAGCAGGAGTTTAAATTAAAAGCCATGAAAGAGAAACATGAATTAGAAATGCAAATTATGAGAGACAAAGCTGCAGTTGAATTAGAAGTAATCAAGAAAGAACACCAAATGAAGATTGAAATATTAATTGCCCAAAAATTTAATATTTTAAATAATAAAACTTAAATAAATAATTACATTACATTTTATTATTTCTCTGATGAACTGGTTCCGTACAAAATTGTTCTGATTATAATTGCCACTATATTCTCCAATGTTTTCAATTAGAACATCGTTCACAAAATTCACTGCTGCTTCTTCTGCGTCCACTGGCGGTTATTTTTCATTTAAAATAATTGCAATGTTGTGTAAAACTGCTGTTGCCACAACCACTGCCTCTACTTTACACATTTTTAAACGAATTCCAAAAGACAATGCTGGAAAGCGTCTTTTCCACACCCCAAAACATTAATTATTTGAGAAGCTGTTGCTTTACTAATCCCTATAAAGTCACCAGCAACTTGCAGAAAAGATCCAGTGGCAAGGAAACGTAAAGTCACAAGTAGCATTTGCTCCGGTGATACTGCATGATTTCTTTCCGTTCGCAATGTAATTTGCTCCTGTATTTGTTGCAAAATAAACCGTACGCCAGTCTTGGAAAAACGAAATCGTTTCAAAAATTCCCCAGCATTTCACTTTTCAAAGTGATTTTCTCTCAACTGAAAAACTTTTGGTCGTCGCATACGTGCCGGTTCTAATATGTTTATCACTTCTAAAACGTCTTCATCGTCAGTTAAATACTCCTAATAAATTTTGCATCTTCAATTATAATGCTGTCACACCACCAAAACGATAAAGCACAGACGTTTGAGGTTATGGACAGTTGAGCGAAGCTTAAACCACCCTGACATCAGCGCTCAGCTGAGCCTTCGTTTGAGCGCGGTTTAACATTGAACTATGTATTGTAAAACGGACAACTGCAGTTGAACCAAGGCTTATCTTTGAACCTCGCTTAAGCTTGCATTGTAAAACCGGGCCTAAGCAGTTGAAATATTCTCAAAAATCAGGTAAAAATTGGTGTTAAACACTGCTTAGCACTCCAACGTCCAACATTATCTTTTTATTTTTCGATTGTCCAGCAGTTATCTTTTCTTAATAAATTTATATTCTACTTTTGCTTTGCGGAAAAAGGTAGAATACATAGTTTATCAACAAATACAAGAAATGTATTGTATAAGTTAAAAACTTTGTTCAAAATCTTCCAACGATTTTAAAATTTAAGCCAATTTGTTAAATACAATTTTCAACACAAAGAAAAATAACCTTTAATTATAATAAACAAACAAAACGAATAAGCGAAAATAAAAAACAAAAAACGCAAAAACAAAACAAGAAAATTAAAGCAGATGTTGGAAGTGAGCACCATTTGCACGAATACAAGCTTCTGCTCTCCTGAGTAATGAGTTACTGACTATTTAATTCTTCAGGATCGTTTCGAATCCGTTCTGCGCCCATCATAACTCTTGCTTCTAAATCTTCTAAATTATTAACTGGAGTTCGATAAACAATTGATTTCATATAACCCCATAAGTAGTAATCACAACTGTTAAGATCGGGAGAACGGGGTGTCCAAGCGATCGGTCCACCTCTTCCAATCCATCTCTCACCATAAACATTCGTCAGGAATTGTCGCACTTGTAAACTAAAATGCGTAGGAGCACCATCGTGCATAAAGTACATCCTTCGTCGAATGTCTAAAGGTACATCTTCCAATAACAATGGCAAATGTGTTTATAAAAAATGAAAGTAATTGTCTCCGTTCAGTCTTTCTGGTAGAACATATGGTCCTATCATTTGATTACCTATTATTCCGGCCCAAATGTTTAATGAAAAACGTTGTCGAAAGTGCGTCTCGTAAATCGCGTGAGGATTGGCATCTGCCCAGCGGTGGGTATGATGAAAATTAAGTATTCCATCCCTAGTAAAACAGCATTCATCTGTCATCAGTATGGAAGAAAGAAATCCGGGAGTTTCATTATTGCTGTTCACTATCCATCGGCAAAAGTTTTGTCTAGGAATGAAATCGTTCGGACTTAAACTCTGGACCCGCTGGAGGTGGTACGGGTACAAAAGAGATTCTCGTAGCGTTCTCCACACCGTCCAGTGACTAACACCTGCTTCTCGAGCAATTTCACGCGTACTAGCTGACGGGTCTTCTTCAACACGATTGATAATGTGCTCTTCAATGTTGACCATATCTGGATCTCGACCTCGTCCAATCTCCTGATTTTTAGGTAAAACTGATCCTGTCTCCCGCAACCTTCTATCCACGGCTGAAAAGGTTTCGCGATACGGTTGTCGACGCCCAGGAAAACGTTCAGCATACCGTCTTTCTGCAGCTCTAGCATTGCCTCCACACTCCCCATAAACAAAATTCATGTCTACATATTCTTCTATGCTGTATTCTGGCATTTTTTCTCAATGAGTATTACTGACAATGACAGTTATAAATCTAACAATAATATTTGAAACAATTTGAACAATGTTAGTATATCTCGGTAACTAAGCAAAGATGCTTTTTTTTAACGATTCCCTTGACAGATAGAAAGCAGATTGCCATTCCTAATTCGTTGCTAAGTAACAATAGAAATTTTAATAATGGAACGTATTATTGAAAAATTGGCCTCCATGCAGTTCCAAAACGGTGTGATACTTATTTTTAAGGCGATTTAAAAGAAAAACTATACATTTTTGAAAAAAGTTGTACATAGATTTTAGATTCCTTTTTTTGTAATGCCTTTGCTCTGAAAGTTTGTTGCAAGCATTTCCTAACACCCTGTATTTCAAGAGTTGGGAAGTCCAGTCTAAATAATTTGGACCAATTTTTTTGAACTTACAGTTTTCGAGATATTTTTGTTTCAAAACAAAATGAATTAAGCATCATTTGTGACTGGCACGTTGCCAGAAAAAAGAGAACCTACTTTTTGCGTGTATTTTATAGTTTCACATACTTGTAAATATTTCACTAAACTTTCTATTAATACTAAGACATTATAAAATTGTAGAACTTTCATCAGTGTTAAAAAAATACAATTGTTAAATATTTTATTGATAGTAGTTGAGTCTTTATACACACTCAAACGGGACACTAGAGTGTTTTTAATTTGTTGTAATTGTTGTAAAAAATTGTATAATCCATCCCCAAATAAATCAGGTTCATAAGTTTAATTGATCAAGAAGAACATCAATAAGTATTATACAATACATTAAACAAAACACAAAACGATACAGTTTTATTCTGTCCCCATGTTAATGTTTTATTTAATAAAAAACCTAAAACTCGCAAAAATTATCCACTTTTTTTTTCCTTAGTAATGATCTACCAACACCGCTACTTACCTCGTAAATACACGTCGCAACTACTTATGCAAAAATTTACAGTATATTTATTGCTAATACCGTCAAGTTTTTGTGGGTAAGTTAAAAAGTGTAGGTACAAGATTTTTTCATGTGCTTGCATATGTTAAAATTAAACTGCCATTTTATGTAAGTTACTTATAGTAAATATTAAAAACGAAAATTAAAGCCAACATATTGTTGTTTTGTTCTTAAAAAACAGCGATTCATACATAACGTCATGACCAATTTCATTCGCTTCCGTTGACACAAGTATGTGGCCATCCCATTTCTAAGAAGGCTGTATCTATGAGCCATTGTTTGTGTAATTAACATCATTTAGTGCACAGTTTGTTGTCTTATTTATTATTTATCTAAAATGTTAAACAAACTCTTAATCATAAACGAAATTGGTCATAAAACAGTTGCGACATTCAGTATCTTGTGATTTGTGAACCTAGTTTTTAATTAAATCCTTCATCTATGCTTCTTGTTATCGAAATATCCTAAAGTTAAATTTTACTTTCACAGATGTACATGAAGCCTTAGTGAAACCAGGTCCGGACTTGGTCATCTGCGATGAAGGCCACCGTATTAAAAACTCCCACGCGTCAATCTCCCAAGCTTTGAAGCAAATGCGAACGAAACGACGCGTTGTTTTGACCGGATACCCTCTACAGAACAACTTAATGGAGTACTGGTGCATGGTAGACTTCGTCCGACCCAACTATCTTGGCTCAAAGACTGAATTTTGTAATATGTTTGAACGACCAATCATGAACGGCCAGTGTATAGACTCCACCGAAGCCGACATCAAACTCATGCGTTACAGAGCCCACGTTCTGCATTCACTGTTGGTCGGTTTTGTTCAACGACGCTCTCACGCCGTACTCCAAACCGCCCTCCCGCAAAAAGAAGAATACGTTTTGTTGGTACGGATGTTGCCTTTCCAGCGCAAGCTCTACGAGACTTTCATGGACGAGTTCGTGCGCTCTCAAGCCGTCCCCAACCCCCTGAAAGCGTTCGCCGTTTGCTGCAAGGTCTGGAACCACCCGGACGTGTTGTACAATTTTCTGAAGAAGAGAGCCCGCGGCGACGCCGTCGACATAGATTTGGAGGAAGTGGCGAGCACGACGGGGGTGCCGACCAAGAGCGAGAAGCCGAAAAAGGCGCCATCGAGGCCTAGGAAGGGTGCCGCGAGGGAGAAAAAGGGAGGCAAACCGGCGGCTTCCGTGACTCCGTATAGCACGAACGCGCCGGTGGAAGCCAATCAGAACCAAGCTCCTGGCACGCCGACGCCGACGACCAATCCGACGCCGCCGCAACCGCAACCACCGCCACCCGTGGCTTCTGCCAGCGCGGAGGTGTCGAACTTCGCACAAAATAACTTCTTCGACGGAGCGTCGCAGCAATTTAATAATTTTGAAAATTCGAATAGTTTTAGTAGTTACGGACAGGAAGCGTCGACTAATTTTATGAACTCGCAAAATAGTTTCGTTAATAACATATCAGACAATTCCCAGTTCGGACCGAATTATGGTAGCAGTAATCAGCAGAATTTTAATTACGACGGCTCGTACCAGAACTACCAGCAGAACTATTGGGGGCAGCAAAATGAGGGGTTTCAGAGTAACGAATTTTTCAACCAGCAACAGTATAATCCGAATTTTAGTAATAATAATGCGAACCAGTCATGGGTGAAGAAGGAGGAGAAACCCGCGATAATGGGAGCTCCGAGCCCGCTAAAATCCGAAAATAGCAATGAATCAAAACCGAAGATTAACATAATTAGCGATATTAAACTGCCGTCGGTTTTTAATAGTCCGGAGAAGAAAATTAAGATTTTGAGTGATATTAAAATTGAGCCAAAGATTGAGGAATTGGATGATAAGTCTGACATTAAACCTGAAATGAAGAAATTGATTAAGGACGAGTTGAAGAATGAGTTGAGTCTGGGTGATGAGAATTTGGGCGAGTCTGCGCTGACACCGAAACTAGCAGCTAAGGATCTTAAGGAAGACAGCGGAATTCCCTACGATTGGGTAAATTCCATTGTTGTTACTATTATCCTGTGTCTATGTATTATGTTTTAGGCGATCGAACTGTTGAAGGATTATGTACCTGGTCGTATCGAAAATTCGGCGAAAATGGAAATCCTGTTTTGTATAATTAGAGAAAGTATAGCCTTGGGTGATAGATTGTTAGTTTTTAGTCAATCGTTGATTACGCTTGATCTGATCGAGCAGTTCCTACAAATGAACGTTGTACCGGGTGATACGCAGAAGTGGAGTCGCAACACCAGTTATTACCGTAAGTTGTACACTATATAATTTTTTTGTTTGTTCTGTTGCATGCTAAACTGGTCAAAATAATTTCTAAAAATCTATCTTCCTTGTTTTAAATTAATTTGTGTTGTCATGCAAAGCTACTTAGCTGTAATAATGCTGCAAAAGTTACTGAATTTCAAATTTCTTATCTAGTTTTTTTTTATGAAAAGCGTTATGGGCATCTTTTTTTTTTTGATAATTGGAAAGGAAAAACTTAGTTGAGAGCCAAACATTTTTAAATTCAAACAAATCAATAATCGTCAAAATAAATTTAATGATTATTATAGGTTTGGACGGCTCCACCAGCGCTCTAGAACGCGAAAAACTCATAAACGAATTTAATTCAAATCCGAAGATCCACCTCTTCCTAGTGTCAACACGAGCCGGTTCCTTAGGCATAAACTTAATCGGAGCGAATCGTGTCGTCGTCCTCGACGCTTCCTGGAACCCCTGCCACGACACCCAAGCCGTCTGTCGCGTTTACAGATACGGTCAAAGAAAACCCTGCTTCGTCTACCGTCTCGTAGTCGACAACTGCCTCGAAAAGAAAATCTACGACAGACAAATAAACAAACAGGGAATGTCGGACCGAGTCGTCGACGAATGCAATCCGGACGCTCACTTGACGATGAAAGACGTGAGCACGCTTTGCTGGGACGACAAGAAGGACGAAGGAGATGAGAAGGACTGGACGCACGTGAGGGATAATTACATAGACGTGGTGTTGCAAAAGGTGATCGAGAATCACGGAAGAAGACTGAATAAGGAGCCTTTTCAACACGAGTCGCTACTGGTGGACCGGAAGGAAAAGCAGCTGTCGCAACAGGAGAAACGATTGGCGAAGAAGGGTTACGAAAGGGAGAAACAGGCAGCAAGACAACCGGCTTATAATTTATTGGCTGGTGGCAGAGGCCATCGGCCTGTGGCGTCCGTCCGACCGATGCAGCAAGGCAACGAACGACCTTCGAGGTGGATTCCGGCAGAGCACTGGCAGAGGCAAGGCATGACCGCACAAGAAATGACACTTCCTTTGGATGTTGTGATCCCGACCAATCAACCAGAGAAGGGCAACATAGTGCTGAAGGCCGGGCAGAAGGTCCTAGTTTTGAAGTCGCCCAAAGGTAAGAAGAATAATAAAGAATTATTGAAGTTGAAGCTGAAACATTACATAAATCAAAAGTTTTATTGATTATTATTATTAAAAAAAGGTTCCTTCGACTGTTTGATAAAAAATCGGAGCGAATATATGTCAACAAAATTAATTATTCGGAAATAAAAACATAATTGTTTTTACAGTTATATCAAATATATCTGGTGTCCCAATTTAAGTGATTTTTGTAAAACCTCAGATATTTGAAAAGCAAGAATTTTAAAATTTAGAACGGTTAATTAGTACGGATCGATAAAATAAATTAAATATAGGATTAGCATTACATCACCTTATTTTTTCGGAAATGATCTCAACTTTCTTTTGTGAGATAGATACAGTTTTTTCTTCAGTAGTGTACTACTAGATGTGTAATTTGTTTTGTTTAATACTTAAAAAATTTAAATCGCGATCCTTGAGTTTACCTATTCCACCCTAATCTCTCAAATATTTAAAGACAGAAGTTCCAAATTTGAAATGGTAAATTAACGCAAGAAACGGTATAAAATCAGTATATCACCCTTTGTTTTTGTAAAAATTAAGAAAATTGAAACGATGTGGCAACCTCGCATCGTAATTTCAAAAATAAGCTATGATTGTAAAGGCTAAGAAGAAATCAATCAAAATATGTGAATATATACAGAGTGCTTCATAATATAAAAAAAACTAAGTTGTAAATACGCCTTAAAAACAGAACATGCTGTATAATTAAAAATAATTTTAGAGTATAGTCCGTATAACTTTGTTCTTTGACTTTTTTACTTCTAGTAATCGAGTCCATCGGGCGAATTGCTACTATCATATTTTTTTCTATTTCTAATAATTTATGTCATGTCCTTTATCTATCGTTTACCTCATTTTATAATTCACAAAAGACTTTAAAAATGGTTCAAAATGACTGACAATTGTTAATTGTTCACATTTTTAAATGCATCCAAATGAATATTTTGTTTTTTTTAGGTGTAAATGTAAATTGACATATAACAAAAATATATTTTTTTAATGATTTTTCTCGAACTCATACTTGTGAACATAAGAACGTGCCGTTGACTTGGTGTGTCATTTTTTGATCACTTGTGTACCAACCGTATATACAGGGTGTTCATTTTATCTGTTCACATCTGAATATTTTTGCATAGGCAACCCATTTTACGTTTCATTAAAGAGATTTTTTTTCTGAATCGATGTATTATGATGTCATATTTTGTTAAAAAGTTATGCTAAAAATTAGTATAATTCTGTGCCAAGACGGCTGGGATGAATTCACCACCACAATTTTATTATTTGTGTCTACAGATGTAGTTACTTCATGTCAAAGTTTTTGTTTGATTATTTTTGTAACTTTGGTTAATGTACAGGTATTTAAATTTGAAAATTAAATTTCTTGTACACAAAACTAATAATTCAATAGAAAAAAATAATTTTCGATATTAAATTATTATTAATGTTTCAAATATTAATGTATAATACATCAATGAAATAAAAAAAATCTGTACGAGAATCTCTTAAAAAATATCTGTGGTGTGATCTGAATGTCGTGGGAAAAACAAATGATTTTTTGAAGCAGATCGTAGTTGTATAATTAAAACGATTTCGTGAGCTTTTTTTCGAACACACGGTACATACATAAAACAATAATAATAATAATAATATACAGACGTCCCAACGATCTGGTGGCGAAAGATAGGCCATATGGAAAAAATTCTTTGACGAAATTTGATAAACTTATCAATGTACATATTTAAACCTATACTAGTTACAATCATTTGCAAATGTACAAGGTGTTCGTTCCATTTGAACAAAGTTGTATTTTTTAAGAAAATGTATGCCCTTTTTATATTTTTATAGATTCTTATTATCTTTTCAAAAGATTTCCATTTTTATGTCAAAAAATAGTCATATTTAAAAATACACAGCTCCATTTTTTTATAAGATTTAGATTCAGAATTCTGCACAAAACTTTTTGGTAATATACTTTTCAAAAATTGAACGAGTTTATTTATACAGGACGACAAAATTTGAAAATTGCCAGTTACATATTTTTTAAAGGGGACATCCTATATTTTACCACAGATTCGAGATTATCTTTCAGGAAGTTTTTTTTTATACCAGGCTTTTTGGGATTTATCATAAGCATATACATATTAAAAAAAGAAACTATTAGTGTAGAATTTAACAAATTTTACATAAAAAGAAAGGCACTTAGAGATAAGCTGGAAAATCTATACACATAATTTAGGGTGTTCTTTATTTTCCAAGTTGAATTCTTTAACTCTCACTCTCAATAGTTTACATTCGATATAAAAAAATATTTGTAAAATATTATACCCCTAAGTTATCTTCTTCCAGTGCTGCCACCACGATAAATGTTTGATAAACTACACAAAGTAACTATTTTTTCTGTGTCGTGGAATATTTTTATTTTGGGGCAGTAAATAGTTATTTACATTATAAATGCGGTAGGTTACATTTTACAACGCGAAGATTTAATATTGAAACACGAGGCAAAGCCGAGTGTTTTAATAAATCTGAGCGTTGTAAAATGCCTACCGCATGAATAATGTATGCAACTTTTTGGCCGATGACTTAGTGGTGCTTGTTTTCGTCAATTTTTACATTTTTTTAAATTGTGTGGAATTTGTAAGTAGGCTTTCCCTGCGACAAACGTCAGATAAAATTAAAATCGTGACAGATAGTTCGATATGACTGCTGCTTATGCCGCCAGATGGCGCTCTCCAAACTCAATAAAAAAATCGATTGCTATTATTTTAAAACATTTAATAGATGCATTTATGCGGTATCTTATTTTGGTGAACACAAGCTTTGTTAATGATGAGGTGTCAATTTTTTTAAGGGTTTTAAAACTCTGAAAATTTCTGTGTTTATTACCGCACTTAATTTGGTAAATGACAGTTCAATGTGTAAAAATCAAAATACCATGGCTATCTACGATACGTAAATGTCAGTTTTACAGTTGTCGAGGCCAAAAATGATATTAATAGCACTTTTAACATTTTTAAAGTAAAGGTTATGTGTTAGACATACTACTATTCTTATTACCAAATCAACATCTACGCAAAAAATATTAAAAATTAAAATGCAATCAATAAGATTTATTTAAAGTAGTTTTTTTTCCAATTGGGATAAATTGCTCTGTGTTCCTGAACCGTTTTCAAGACATATTGTCTTTGATTTTCATTTTTGGTCAGCAAACCATGAAAATCTTGTGTCAATTTTATATATCTCTCTGCTGTGTCATTGACAACTTTAAGGGAGTTTATATTTTCCTTTCACAAATGATGTGTGAGATTTCCATGTTGTTGGATCAAACCCCAAAAACTGTACTCTCTCTTGTATTTAACTTAACTGATAACACTTGTTTATTCATAGGAAGTTTTGAACCAAGTATTTGAGTCTCTACTATTCCTACCAAATATACGTTATCTAAGCCTCGGGATGCCATAAGAATGTTTTTGTAATCACTAACATGCTACACAATATACAAAGAGGACAATTGTGACATTTGTACTCAACACCTACATATTATGTAGGTTTTAATTTTTGAAAATTCAAGTTCATGGCAGCACGGGAAGGGATAAAGTGAGGGGGTTGAAATTTTTTGTGTGTACTGTATATTTCAAATGTAAACTTCTTGGGGGGTGAGACCAACTTACTCGAAAAAATACAAAATCACCGCTATTATAAGGAACATCCTAACACATATCTAGAAATATATGTTGGTATCTGTCTAACTGTCTGTCTGTCTGAGATTTATAGACTCCGACAGCGTTTAACCCATCACCATAAAAGTTGGCACATATGTATAAGTATCTTTTCATGGAGAAGGTTTTACCACGTTTTACGGTATTCATTTTGCTATAACTCGCTACTAGATGGCGGTGCAGCAATTACCCAAAGTTTCATATTTCTATCTTTAAATAATATGACGGAGTACAATTTTTAAATATGATAATGTTTTCTACATACACCTGAAAATATTTTGAAAACCTTTGTGCCTAAATAAATTACATTTTTAATAAGAAATCTAAATATATGTATAAAACATACAATGTATTACGATTAACAAAATAGCACTCTAAAGTTCTGGGACACTTACCTGACCTAACCAGATCTGACCGTTGGGACACCTATTAACTACATATATAAATTTCGGATGAAAGATACAAAAACAAGAGGACCGCCTTTTGAAGAATATAATTAATTATCTTACTACGTCATAAGCCATACGATTGTTAACACGTTAAATATATTGACGTTCAGATCACAGTTATCAGTTTTAGTATATAACTACTGAACTTTTTTTTGGATTAGCAGTGGGTCATGTACTTTCTGTTTTATTTACATTAGAGGAATCTGACCTCGTTTGAAGTAATTTTAGCTTTATGAGTTATTTGATAACATCCTCGTTCTTAAATTAGGTATTTTCAATTCTATCACTATCTCTTGAAAGTTAGCACGTAGATGGTGTTCTTCATTTTTGGTACCCGTTTTTACTAATTACATCGCCTTATTCTCATTCCAGGTGTATACATGCAACTGGAAAGTGGAAAAATCGTGGCAATCAAAACCGCGATTAAAGTTAAAGGAAAAGCAGAAGATAATCACGATCCTACCAAGATGCTCAAACCCACGTTTCCGCCAACGATGAAAGTCAACCCTTCCTTGTCAGTAATGCCGCAGAAGAGGGTGGTAAAACCTTTTACTCCCGGTATCGCTAAGATGAATGTAAGAAGTATTCGGCAGTCAGTTCCTAATTTGGTGTCGCGGATTCAGAATTTCAATAAGAAAGATTTAGGATTCAGTAGCAAATCGATACTGAATCGGAAAGAAGGCGAGAGGAAACAGCCGTTAAGGGGAAAAGACCTGGAGGTGTTCCCCGGAAGTAGTAGTGACGAAGAACACATGCAAAACGAAAGGGGTAAGCCTGCTATGGACCCGGGGATGGTGAACAGAATCGCGGTTCCCGATGATATACAGAGGAGGATTTCCATGCTGAAGAAGCAGGTTTCGATTAAGAGGTTACCGAATCAACCGGAGCAGAAAGCGGCGTCGGCGTTGCAGAGGTTGGAGCAGACGACGACGTCAGTCTTGAATGACAACACACCATTCCAGGTATTGTTATTTAAGAATTTTTAAGTACATATTTTATTATTTTTATTGCTTCAGGAGACCCTCGACAGCATCACGAATTCGTACAAAGACGACGCCCTCGAGGACGACGCCTCTCTCGCCTCTTCCAGCGACCCCAAGCAACCTTCCCAAATCCCAAGTGACGCTAGCGACCACAGCGACGAAGTGACTTACGTGTCAGAGCAGCCTCCACCGCAACCGTACCAACAACCGCCTGCGAATCAGGCCGAAATGAAAACCGAACCGCCCTCCAACGATTACTACAATTACTACAACTACAATATGCAGCCGTACCACAATGCGCCTCCGCCGCCGCCTCCTCAAGGCTACGGTTATCCCACTCAACCTCCCCCCTACGACATGATGGGTTATCCTCCACAGCCCCAGCAGCCTCCCCAGTACAATTACGGTTACCAGGGCTATCCTCCTCCACCTCAGCCGCACTACCCGCCGCCGCCCCCGCAACCCGGCGGCTACGACTATAACGCCCCTTACGGCGGGTATCATAATCCGTATCCCCAACAGTATCCTCCTCCACCGCCTCCACAAGGTATGTATCCTCCTCCTCCAACGCCCAATAGTACGCCGCAAGGGTACCAAGATTATCAGTACCAGCAAATGAACAGTACAACAAATGCGGCACCTTATTATCCTAACACATAAAGTGGTGATTCCCTTTTTTTCCTTTTGACTGTAAGTAGTGCAATTATTGTTGAATTGATTGTAACTTTATTTTTTCCTCTCTCTGAACGTATACCAGATGTTGCATGGTAGGTCTTACGCGTCTTTACGTTGATAGATGATAGATCTGTGTTAAACGGAATATGTTAGAAGAGGTTTTTCGCTTAATAGTATTACTCTCCATGATGTTGATAAATGTATTTAATTTATCTTGTAACAAGGTACTTTGAAGTGCGAACTGATATTTTTTATTGTTTTGAGTCTAGATTACTGTTTTTTTTCTCGAGCATTTATTATGTAAAAGTACAGATTTACGATTCGGTTAGTACTATTTCTAATTAAATTATATTATTTAGAGCAAATTTTATTTCACTGAAAGTGCAGCAATTAACGAGGATCGATTTACGTTGCCGTAAGGTCATGTTATTCGAATGCAACTAGTGATATTCGGATATTTGGTTGGTAGCAGCAAGTGACATTATCGACGCACCAATCAGAACTCGTGCGAAGATTATCGTGATTGGTTCTTCGAGCATGTTCTGTCAAGCGTCAAGTAGCTGTCAGATTGTTACCTGCTGTTAAAATTGTTTATTTACAATTCATTTTCGCAAATTTTGCGAAAATGGCTCACGCTCAGTACATGGACGAACTAATACGTGAATACTTATTATTTAGGGGTTTTGGTTCGACGTTAAAAGCATTTGATTCGGAACTGAAAGTCGACAAGGAAAAAAGTTTTAGGGTTGACAAAATCATCGACCAGCTCATGCAGTTCATTGCAAATTTTGATTTGAACTCGTTGCGTGAATTATGGGGTCATTTAGACGCTCACATGTTTAGTAAATTGGAAAGTCATTTTATTCCAGGTAATTTTTGTTAGGTGTCAGTCAATTTATCGAAACGTGTTTTCAAGGTGTAAAGAAGCTGGAAAATTCTGTGCTGAAGATGTTTTTAGTGATTTGTGCTGTAAATAATAAGACCGATAAAGTAATGGAATTTTTCTTGAGATTGACGCCAGAACTCCAAAATCAGAACGAGTGGAAGGATTGGTTTGGTAAGTGAAATTTAAATTGGTGTAGTGTGATGTTAACGGGGTTTAAAGTTTTTCCATACATCAAAAACCATGAAGAAAATCCGGCTTTTTCGCTGTATTTCACCAAACAGTGGCAGGATACTTTGTTGGTGTCTCTACATAATTTCCTAGCTTCTATATTCCAAGTAAGTAACAAATCTTTTTGTGCTTTTGTTGCAAGATGTCAATTTTTGGTTTTCACTTTTACGTGGCCATCACTAAAACTAGGCCTTTCTTTAGAATGTCAGATTATTAAAAAAATACTGGTTTTATAGTGTACAGAATCTGTATGAAAATGTCAGTCTCTTATTTCTGTTCCTATACATGAAACCTCTTAAAATTAATTTTGAGAAAAACCGGCAATGCAGTTTTCAGTAAACTGTTGTTTGTTATATCCAAAATTTTGACTGTTTTTTTTTTTTGCCAAATTTTGTCGTTTTCGAATTAATGCTAGAACGGTGGACAAAATTCGTCTACTTACCTTTCCAAAAAATTGATAGCATATGATGTACTCAATTTTTTACTGTGTCCATTAGGGTAACGAAATTTTATATAATTCATCACTCCCAAGAAAGTGGTGACACTTCCAACCATTCAATAAATTTAAAGGATTTTATTTATATTTCACTAATATTCATTGATAGATATTTTCATAATTGTTTACTATGTTGTGTGAATTGTATCAAGACAATTAGTGAATTCTTGAAGATGTGAAGTTGCTTTATTTCTACTGGATCAGTTGTGGTTTGCTTACACTTCTCTGGAGTAGATTTGTGATAGAAGTTACAATTAAAACTAAAATTCAGTTCCCCAATTAATGAAACAATATTGTGTGATAACTTTTACATAAATTTAGTGGTTGCAGCATGACAAACCTTTTATTTTGCTTTCAATGTGCTACCTTGGTCATAAGCTTGGGTGGACAATTGCATGCCCCACTGACGCCAGTACACACTTAATGTTTTTTGTAGTACATGCCAACTCCTACTCTCATGCATTTTGAAGAAGATGCCACCAAAATTAACAAAATGGAGCAAAGAAACGAATCTCTCAGGAACCGTTTAGCTCTGTTGATTGATAAAGGTCCAGAAGCAAACGTTACTCCGTGCTCAGTGGAACCCCCACCTCACCTCCTCGACGATTTCTACATAATAGCTCAAGAAAACAACAGTGTGGACAGCCAAGCTAAAAGTCTGAAAAGTTTGATACGAAATATGGGCACAGGTTCCAGTCCTGTACTCGGCAGAAAAGAAAATGCGGGTGCAAAGAAAAGAGTCAACTCAACATCACGCACTCCAAAGTCTAGTCATTTCTACGATACTTAAAACAATTTATTTACATAATAAATAAGAATTATTGCTTGAATGTTGAAATTCGACTTATTTACATTTACCGCAAGTCATGAAAAAACATCAGTGTTTCAAATCAAATATCTCGATGAGTAAGGGTTCAACCTGTGACGGATTTACATCTAAATATACATTAATTAACTCTTCGTTGAACTTATGTAATTCTGCGATTTTTTGAATTAACTTAAGGAATGTGGATTTCGCTTCGCATCCTGGGTATATACTTTCCAAATATCTCCTCAACAAGTAATAGTACGCGTTTTGTTCGAGTTTAATTACGTCTTGGTGAACCACACGAGGTCGATCCGGCGTAAATAGAGTAATGGCACATAAGATCAGGATTATATTTTCGTCAGAGCGCCACTTTAGGTCGAACGTGTTAATAAAACGTTCGTGTTCTTGATACACGTTGCCTTTGGCCAGTTTTAGAATATCAACGTTAAGGTTGAACGTTTCTCGACTGTGAGGGATCTAAAACAAACGTCGACTTATTATCGTTTGAATTTTAGAAATAACAGTCTTTACCTTCCACGTTTGCTTTGTGGGGTCGTAGTTCATTGCGCTTCTTAACAGCATAATTTCCGTACAACCCCCCTTAAGTAAAGCCACTTGATCCTCCTGACACATGTTTTTGAAAGCGTTGATTTTTTTCGCCATTTTGATTAATCGTCGGATGACGACTGCTGTTAGATTTATCACATCGACAAGGGCAGGGTCGGCTTCGAGGGCTTGTTGGGGGTTCCCCTGTAACAGTGACTGGAATGGGATTAACAATGAGTGAAGTCGTAAATTCTAGTGTAAAGAGCTTACTCTGAATTTGTAATCGTTTCCTATGAGGCTGTTCAATTCATCGTCCAGCGGAGTTACGAGGGCTTTATTGGCAACGATTAACTCATTCAATTTGGCTCTTTCAGCGTCGTTTAATTCACGAGAATTTGAATGGCACTGGGCAATTGACGAATACGCCTCGTATTCCAGTTTTATTGCTTCACAAAGGATTGACTCGATCGAGTTCGGCTCGATGGAAACTCTGCAAGTGATGGAAACCTAATGTCCTAAGTACTGCATATAAATTTCAGAGAGAATAAAGAAACAGTCGATGCGTTTTATTATGTGGGTTTTTTTATCAGTTTCGATTTGTTCAATTTTGTGTTTACAAATCTTTTTAAACAAGTTGTCGCCCTACTGTTTGTACAGTACAGTAGTTTAAATATTTACAGTCTACACCTGTGTTTAGTTACTATGATGTACTATGTGCCATTTCTCATATTTATACATTTTCGAGTGCTATTTAGTCGAATGAGTGATAACCGAAAATGTAATCGGTCACCTTAATCATAAGTACCTGTTTACGTCAGTTCGCAGAAGTAGTTTTATTTATACTAGCGAATCTTCAGATTTAATTTTAGCGTTGCACTTTTAAATCTTTATGAGAATCATAAATCACAGATGCAGTCAATAAGTTGTTCAAAATATGATTTTCGAACATCGTGGTTCGCTTTTTTTTAATAACATCCAAATTTTCTGAGAACTAATATTTTTGGAGAAGTTCGGTTTTTAAACTATGTATATCATATGTAAACTATTTACATGTGTACATATGATATAAACTTACTCTAAAAAATATACATATATAAAAAGGATGTTGTTCAACACAACATTAACCACGACCACATATTATAACAATTTCATGTGAATTCAAATCCATTTGCATTTTTTTTTTTTTTTCAAACAAGAAGTAAACAACCAATTATAATGGAACGTGATCATTCTTTCATCCAATTGTAGTCATTTTAGCTTTGTTTCCAAGAAATTTTTAAATGCTTACATAAATATTTTGTATGTATTGTGCAAAACAATGACTCGTCACAATAGTAAATTAACACAGATTCCAATAATATATAAAATGTTTCGTTTAAGACTGGAACATTTTTATTGATTAGAATAACCTTTTGCAATTGTATGCAGTAAAAAATGTAGTATTATTAAAAACAAGTACCAGACGCTAAAAAACGTTTTAAAAAATCTGCATTGTGAGTTAAGCCATATGCTATTGGTTTAAATATAAAAAAGAAAAACATTAAAAAGAAAGAAGTTGATGAACTCAAAATGTTACCACTAAGAAGTACATTTATGATATTCTTTTTCAATTTATTTTTGGGCAACGTTTATTGGCGTTTTCCATGATTCATTTCTGCTCGATTTGCAGTTATGTACTTAACTATTATACCGGGTGTCTGGAAAATGGCGGATTAACTCTTCAGTACGTTAGCGGTTTCGGGGGTCCCAAAAAAATAATAAAAAAATTCTTGATGTAGATTACGAAAAAAAAACGTTATTTTATAAAAATAAAATTGGCAACCGTGCACGCACCTAATGCGTGAATACTTCCGACTTACTTTCTGATTTCTTAGTAACGATGGTGACTGACATTAATATATAAACTCAAAAAAATTAATAAGACATTTATATATTATAAACAAAACCGATAAAAGAAAAATCCATTAAAGCATAACCAACTAAACACTAGAGAAGATGTTTAAAATTCCTGCCTTGTGCGTATAAGTAAGCTCGTGAGGTTTCCAAATTTTCATCATTTTTTCTAAAAGTTAGTCATCAGTACTTGCTAAGATAAAACTGATCTTAGCAAATGACATATCCTCTAAGAAAAGAGAGGGAGGGTGGGCGGAGCTAGTAGCTGCTAAGATAGATCGATTTTGGCTAATGACTAGACAGCGGATTTCTGTCGGGCTACGTCACGATTTTAGTGGGGACGCGCTGCATCGCCGGGAATCAGTGGCGGGTGATAGGTAATCACTGAATTTAATTGTCACTTGATTCCATAAATACAATTAACGATTTATTAATCAAACGGCTAACTAAATGACTGGAATTAACAGCAGAGTGCAACGAAGCAGCGTTATTCTAATCTCAAATAAACGAAGTGCAGCCGGTAACTGCAATGAGTTCCCATCCCGTACGAGCCGTACCGAGTTTGGCCTTGTCTAGCCCGACAGAAATCCGCTCTCTACTAATGACATGCCCTCTAAGAAAAAACAGGGTGGGTGGGTGGGGCTAATGGCTGTCAAGATAACTGATTTTGGCAAATGAGATATCCTCTAACAGAAAATAGGGTGGGTGGGCGGGGCTAGTACCTGCTAAAGTAGGAGTGATTTTGGCAAATGAGATACCCTCTAAGAGAAGAGAGGGTGGGTGGGCGGGCTGAGCTAGTACCTGCTAAGATAAGACTGATATTGGCAAATAACATACCCTCCAAGAAAATGAAGGGTAGAGGGGTATCATTTGGCAAAATCAGTCTTACGTTGCCATGTACTAGCCCCACCCACCCACCCTCTATTTTCTCAGAGGGTATGGCGTTTGCCAAAATCAGTCTTATCTGAGCAAGTCCTAGACCCCCCCCACCCCCCCCCCCGCCCCTATTTTCTCAGAGGATATGTCATTTGCCAAAGTAAGACTTATCTTAGCAAGTACTACCCTCTGAGAAAATAAAGGGCGGGTGGGCGGGGCTAGTACTTGTTAACATAAGGCAAATGACATACCCTCCAAGAAAATGAAGGGTAGAGGGTATATCATTTGGCAAAATCAGTCTTATTTTGGCAAGTACTAGCCCCACCCACCCGCCCTTTATTTTCTTAGAGGGCTAGTATCTGCTAAGATAAGACTAATTGGCCAATGACATATTTGCTAAAAAAGAGAGGGTGGGTGGGCGGCGGTAGTAGCTGCCAAGATAAGACTGATTTTGGCAAATGAGAAACCCTCTAAGAGAAGAGAGGGTGGGTGGGAGGGGCTAGTACTTGCTAAGATAAGAGTGATTTTGGCAAATGAGATACCCTCTAAGAGAAGAGAAGCCTGGCGGCTGGGGCTAGTACCTGCTAAGATAAGACTGATTTTAGTAAATGACGTATCCTCTAAGAAATTTAATTAAATTATTATAAGGAAAGACACTTTCAAATTTTTTCCAAGCAGGAATACCTAGAACCTCAAGATTGTTTTCAATTTTCCCAAAAAAAAACGGGGTCCCAAAATTAACTGAAAAATAGGTCAGATCAGAATCTTCCAAAAATAGAACACCAAAGTCCTCCAAAATTGTTTTAAATAATTTACAAAAATAATCTCCATGGGCTCCCAAAATAATACACCATGGGTACCCAAGAGTTTCCTGAATTAAAAGAACAAAAACACTGCGGCACTCAAGACTTTTTCAAATTAATAAAAAATAAAACACCAAAGTCTCCAAAGTTTTTTTCAATTAACTGGAAACATTTTAAACGTAGGGTTTTGAAAACTAACAATTTTTGATACGTGAAACATTTTTAACTGCTTACTCGATTTTTGCTGATTTGTACCTTTGCTTTAAATCAGGCAAACATTGTTGTCAAATGGAATTTTATCAAATTATTACAAAAACAAAACACCATACTTTGTACATTCTAACTGAAATGGTAATTATTAATTAAACATGGTCATGGGCAAGAGAAATATTAAGTAAAAGTTTGATTACTGGTTCTTGTGATAATGAATATGTTCTTTAGTTGTTAAACGTAGCAAAAGAACCAATTTTACTATTATTCCCAGACTTACCAGTTGATTGTTAAGAGCGTAGTGGAGAGTTAATCCACCATTTTCCAGACACCCGGTATAGCACATACTTTTGTCTTTTGACTGACTATGTGGCGAAATTTAATTTTTCTCTTGGGATGTTTAGGATGCAATGGAAATTACCAAAAATAATTGTTACAATTTTTAGAGATGTTTTTTTAATAAATATTTTTGGAAAATCTACTCATAACAAACCTAGTTAAAGTTAAAGAATTTTTGATGAAATAACTTTTACAGAGAATCTCATTTCAGTAATGTTTTTGTCATTTGACATTTGTTCTGAAACAATCTAAAATTTTACTTGAATATACACATATCTATTTCACTTGTCAACAACGTAAAAGTTATGATAAACCAAATCTTGTAAAGACATGATTTTTGCAATGTAGAACAAGAGAAGCAAACAAATCCACTAAGAAATAAATATAAAGTAAAAAACTGACCTACACAGGTTGGTGCCTTCAGTTGATCTATTTTTAGCATTTTAATATTATGAAATAATTTCACCTGGGCATTTAGCGAAGTGAATTTACAACGAATAATATTTTCCTGCATCAATAATAAAACTTTATGAAAATGGTCGGAACCGCTGATACTTTTGGAGTTTTGTGTAAGTGAACTGGATTTTAAAGCATTGTAATGGAATAAAAAATTAGAAATTCAAAAATGTTCTATATTACACATAATGCAGCATTTTTGAAAGTTTTTACTAAATACTGAGCAGAAAATAATAACTGATTTATTAAAAATGAGAGATCACAATTCAAAAAATGTTACCAAGGAAAAACTGAAAAAGTTGCATAAAATAAGTTTTACACAACAATATCACTCCTCTGCACCGTTGGAGCAAAATGACGCATTGTCTGGTATGTTGGTATATATAAAATAAATAAATAAATGCAAATACTATTTATTTCAATTTTATTTGTGTCAATTACGTAACTAATCCAAATTCGCGTATCTCAGAGATCTTGTTGCTAAAATCCAGTCCTGATATTCTTTATAGAAAAAATTAGTTAAGATTGTAACTTTATAAATAAAATTCTTTCGTTTGATTATCTTTCTTTGATATTACTTTTAAGTAAACAGATATCACATTGATGCTTTTAACCTTGTCAAAATCACCATGCTTCTTAAAATGATTTTAAACTTGATGGGCGCAGTTAAATCCTGCAATAATTGTTTCTCAAAAATATACATGAGTGAAGAAATCATGAAAACAAAATTATAGAAAATATAATAGAAGTAAGGTAGCTAATAAAGAAATGAAAACTTCCTGCTTTTAAGAAAATCATAAATTACGTAATAATGATCATGTAATATAATTTTCTACTCTGGAACAATAACTTTGGAGTAGGTCAAACTTTGCGCACTTGAGATAAACAAGAAACAACCATAATCAACAAACAGAAAAAGTTATGAAATAATTGAATTTTGCATCCAAACAAAGTTCACTAATTTCTGTTATCATTAACTTTGTCCTCATTTCCTGTCATTTCAACCACGCGATTAATAATAATTATTTACCAACAGAAACCATAAACCTCTGCTCTGTCAGCAAAAATAATAATTTCGCAACGACTTGACAAATAAATTCACGTGTGACAGTTTACCTGGTAAACAACACTATCAAACTGACTCATTGTATAATTACCTATGTACATCTTCAACCACATCTTTAGTAACGTCTTCCGTGCCCCTGCCTCCTTGATTAGCTGATGTCGCTTCAGTATTATTACAATTGACATCATTATTAATCATCGAAACCAAAGCATTCTCATCTACAGTCTTCTGCAACACGTCACTCGGAGTCGTATTTAACATATTCCTAATCATAGAAACGTCGTCACTTGATGTAACCAAGCGTTCACTCCCTGAATCCATGTAACTAATAACACTCACAATCTGCCCCCCATTAGGCTGATACATATCCTTCGAACTATCTGAATCGACAGTCGACGAATCCTGAGAGTCAGCCTCTTCGCCCACCACTTTGTCCTCTTTTTTAACCTTTTTGAAAGTCTTAAACCCGTGAAATCTGCTACGTTTCTTCGCCCTGTTCTCTTCGATTTTCTGTCGCTTGAGGTTCTTGTCCTCTTCGGACATGATCAAGTCTTTGCACATGCCGATGGCGAAGCACTTGTCCAGGCGACATTTCTGACAGAAGCGCCTAGTGATTGTGTTAATCTCGCAGTTGTCGTTAAAAGGGCACTTGAACTGTTTTTGTACTAAAGCGTTGCGTCTGAAGAAGGCCTTGCAGCTCTCGCAGGTGACGGCGTTGAAGTTGTAACCGAGGGCCTTATCGCCACACACACCACACACTTTGGGGTCCACTTTCGCTTTCATGGCAAGAGGATCATGTGAAGGGGGGTTGTTGGTGAATGCGGGTGATAAGGTGTAATCATTCTAGGATACAGGTTGAGAAGTTGACCTTCGATTAGTGATTGGAGATGGGTTCGATAAGGAATCGGTGTTATCAGTCACGGACGAACGAATGGATGATTGTTATGACGTTTGACGGATTGTTGATTGGCGTTGACGTTTGACGTGCGGTTGGTTCCACTAGGGAAAAAATAAAACCCCTAGATTATTCTACGGTACTCGGAGTTTTAAATTTGAAATTTGTGTGTCAATTTTTTACTTTTTCTTAAGTAAAAAGTGTAAGTCGAATTTACCTAAAAATTCAAAATCAACTTTAAAGTAGCAGGTGCTACTTTTATGGAAGTTTTTATTTTGTGAAGTGGTGGTTCTGATAGACAAAGTTAACTTGATATTATGTTTGAATGTGCGTCTTCATCATGTGTGCTAAAATGTCTGCAGGTTCGCCTCTTTTGTGTTAAAATCATCGAAAATGAACTCAACTGTAGTGTTTTCAACTAGCAAAGAGTATTTAAAAGTAATTTCACGAAAATATTCAACCTTGTCTTTCCAATTATTGATTGCAAGTGATGGTGGGGTCTCATGTGTCGTGTCTAAGGTAGGTGATTTGAGTTGTGATTATTTGCGAAATGAAAATTTTTGTTCTTAGATTTAAGTTGTATGTAGCTTTTTTATTACAAATTACTTTAATCATAATATTAATAACATATAAATCTCACACATTGATAGTGTCATAAGATAAGCTTTTATCATTTTTATTTTCAATTATTACGGTTGACAGTATCCTCATTGGTCTAATTTGTTAATCAGTCGTTCAACATTGTGCTGTCGAAAACATTGTGAGATGTAGTTGGCCAAGCATACGCTGTGTGGTTGGTATTATTGATTTGAAAGTGACACTAGTAGGTCAGCCATATTTGACTGTGCGATGTGTAGGACTTTGATTCACATACCATTTGATAAGAAAGAGGGTTTTATATTTCGTTTATCATCTGATAGTATGTAATCCCTTCGATCTAGAGGGTTAGACGAATAATGGGAGAACTATTAACATTATTAAGTGTACAAAATTTTCTTCAACTCAGTGCGATCAGTGAAACCATGGAGTTGATATTACCTTCATGGATGAAACTTGTATATGATGTCAGTGTTCGTAACTAGCAGTAATCTGTCAACTGTAATTGGGGAAAAGGTGATTAAAAAGTTTTCAGATTAGGCTGGGCCAAGGAAACATTTTTCATTTCTTTGATTAGACTTTAAGCGTCAAAATTCAAAATTTCGTGAATAGTGGGTTGTCTAGAGTAAAGGGATTATTCTATGGCGGCAGAAAGTTTATTTTAAATTCACTGTTGCAACCTTAATAAATCATTTGAATTGTGGCAACCCTAGTGCTTGTGTATTGTCACACTATGTATATACTTACTAGGTACCTATCTTTCCTAAAAATCTCAGCTCGTTAGAAATGAGCATAGCGATCTTACGGTCGCCTCTCCACCTAAAATAAGAACTTACGGTGTAATTATGCCGTGGTTATTAGTTCGGAATATAATAATTTTCCAGAGAATTGGCGGATTTCTGCTATTGCGTAATGCATAATCCATGATTCAATTACATAGGAATGTAATATTGTAGTTTCGCGGAAGCTGGTGCTATGAATTTTAGATGGAACACGTTTCGTAATTATATTTCGGGAATGTAAAAAGATTTTCTTGAATAGTGATTATAATTTTATCTTTTTATTGTAACTTTGGGTAGAGCTGATTTTATGTAGTAATTTAAACAACACACTCACAGCATGTTAAATTTGATTTGAAGTAAAGTATTTTACGCATTTATGCAGAATGGTCATACCTAAGGTTCCTTTTTAAAACAAACTTCGTTGGGGTTTAATAAAGTGTGTTGTCAGGATTTCCGTTAACCGGAAAATTGTGGTTTTTCCGGGCTCTTTAAAACATTAATTTCTCTCATACATTAATTTTTAAGGAATTGGGAATGTATCACTCGATATATCAAACGTTCAGAATGTGAATGTAATCGAATTAATTTAAATTTTAATTTAATCAATACTTGATTACGAAAACCTTCATAAAATTTTACGACGAATTCATAAACTTACCAGAATGAGGACGGCATAATACGTAAGGGTTGGACGGCACAATGGTAGGGTTCGGGGTGTTTGAAAAATGACCTGTGCCGGTTAGGCTTTGTTGCAAATATGGGGGTTATATTTGAAACAATTGTGGCTCATATAAAAGAAATGAAAATGGTTATTTAAATATTTACGTAGTACACATCATAAAACAAAATATACGAACGGTACTTACACAGGATGCTGAAAAAATGGCGCATCAACTCAACGGTACATTATTAAATTCACAAGTCTAAGTTCGGGAAAAATCATTAAAAAATTAAGATATCGATTTAGACCGATAAGTAAAGTCTAAAAATTAGCCACACTTGCCCAATTCATCCTAAATATTGTTTTAGTTTTTTATTGTATTATAAAATGAAGAAAACTGAATCAAAACAAGATCCCTCCAAAATTATTTTGAATAATGGAAGTGTAATTGATTTCATGGACGCAACACTAAGGGCCGGTTTATCAATACTCAGTTAAAAGTGTCTGTTAAGTAACTGTCAGATAAGGGTAACTAGCAGTTAACGGAGGTAAAGTGTTTATCAATGCACGATGTTTCTTCCAGTTTCGTAGCTCGAAGTTTAGCTGTTACTCTCTTAAGTTGGTAACGCTCACCCCACTGGAAATGAGTTGTGATTGGTCAGTTCAAAACTACCCCGACCTTGAAAGTTCCATCAGACTCGATCGGCATTCGGTATTCGACGATTGTATATCGCGTTTCACGTGATCAATCATGAAAAAGCAAAATTTAGCATTAGAAAAAAAGTATTGGAAATTAAAAATGAAACAAGTAGGTACACCTACAAATAAATACAGAGAGATCGAAAAAAAAATTAGTCAAAGTTGGCCATGCACGAAAAGACGTTTGTCTTAGTTTAAAATAATTTTTTATTAATCGTCACGTTGATAAAAGTAATTTGCACTGTTATCAAACGAAATTAAAGCTTTTTTGTTATTAGAATCTTCAGAAATGGGATAAATTTTAGACAAAATTGGAAAACGGTGATTTTAATTCATTCTTATGTCTTTTAAAAGTAGGCGTCATTATTCTAATTTTAAACTGTCAATTTGACATTTAATAAAAAAAATTAAATTACCCTACCACCGTGATTACGGCAAACGGCTTGTCGTGCATGGCCTACTTCGATTAATTTCTTTTTCGATCTTGCGGTATTATTAGATAGGTTTTTAATTTTTGGTACCTACATTAGACCTGGAAAATAATCAGCTAATAATAAGTGTTTTTCTCATCTTTTCTCTGTTAATTTGTTGCACAACATAAGTCCTCATCAAAATATTGTTAAATTCATAACAGATTTATTTGGATTTGTTAGGTTATGTTGCCACTAACTGGTAGATAACGTTTTAACTGACAGTTTGAACTGTCAGTTAATTTATCAGGCACTTTGACCACCAGTTTTGAGCTAGCGGGTAATGATAAACAGGTTAACTCACAGACAAGCTTTAACTGCCAGTTACTTTAACTTAACTGCGCATTGATAAACCGGCCCTAAGTGGTGAATTAGAATATGGTGAAATATTGGAAATAAAAGTTAAATTTTGAAGGACTATATTTTCTACATTTGGCCCCAAGAATTTTTTAAATTATTTTTTCTCCGTTCCATAAACAGTCCTCAACAACGTGTCATACAGTTGGTACGCCATTTTTTCAACACCATGTATATCGTGGGTACATGCGCGTTAAGCCGTGCCGCTTATAGGCGCGACGTTTTTCTTTCTTTTCATTTTTTTCTTTTTTTTTTCTTCCCTCTCTCTTTCTCTCCCTCACTGACAACTGATGCAACTGATAATTGCCGCTTCTTGCAATTTCCGATCTTAATTACTAAAATTAACCGGTTTAATTACCGACTGCAAATCTTACTGTTAAACTATCTTTCGAAGGGATACCTGTCAACTGGTCTAATAATCGGGTATTGAGTAGCTGACGGCTACGAGTGTAAATTTTTTAGCACTTTAATTCTTGATACCTGATCATGAATCCGTGTGTTCATTGTGGTGAAGCTAAAACGGGCCTCTCTACTACAAAATGTGATGGTTGTGGTGGTGTGATCCACCATGCTTGCGTTGGGCTATCTGAATCCGACACTGTCAAGGTCAAGACTCGCGCTAAGTCCCGCGCTATTAAAGTGGTATGCCCAAAGTGCAATATTAACCTGACGCAGTGCGCTGGATTGAAGGATTTAATGCAAACCATGATTGATACATTGAAAACAGAATTTCTAAATGCTATCGAACAACTAAAGACCCAATTTGAGCAAAAGTTAAATGAATCACTGTCGAACAAGTCTAATATCCCTGATGACCTAGATAGTGAAACTATTATTGATGAACTAGCCGACCGTCAGTCAAGAGCTGGTAACATTATAATTTACAATCTGCCTGAATCTGGAAATGGTGCATCGTCTCAAAACGATGATCTAGACGGCGTAAAAACCATTCTGAACGGGCTTGAGATTGCGGACAAGGATAAAATTCATACGTTGCGTCTTGGCCGCAGAGGTGCAAATTCTAGACCGTTAAAGATATTTCTTGGTAGCCGCAGCAATGCCCTTCTGGTCCTGAAGAATAAAACTTGCATTTCAGAAAAAAACCCCGGTATAAAGATAACGAATGACGAAACACCCATGCAACGCGAGTATAAAGCTAAACTTCGCGCAGAACTTGAACAACGAAAAACGGCCGGTGAAGAAAATTTAACTATCCGCTATGTCAAAGGTAAACCGAAAATTGTCCCATTGTCACCTCTGTTTAAAAAACAAACAAAAAACTAAATTCTAATCTGTGCACCTTCTTTGAGCTTACGGTTTATTACACAAATATAGCATCCCTCTTGGCCAAATTTGACGAGTTTCTCTTGTCAGTTTCCAATTTATCTCCTACGTTTATTCTCATAACGGAGTCATATCTTAATTCCTTTATTCCTGATTCTATAATAAATATCCCTGGTTATCCGATATATAGGAGTGACCGCACTTACTGCAAAGGTGGTGGAGTTTGCATTTATGTC